CGAGATAATAATTCAATTCAATTTGGAATGAGCGGGGGATTGAAATTACGAAATTTTTTTTTAACTGTGATCTAGAGAGGATTGTTCTTAGATTAAGGCCATTGTGGAGTGACCTTCTAACTTCAAAAAGGAAGAGCTTGTTGAGGAAATGAACGGAGTTTAAATAATTCCTGGAAGATCCGAATCACGGATTAAAATTTTATCGCCGTTTTAATGGAGTGGTAAGTTTTAAATCGGAGGCGGAAATTACGTCATCAAATTGATCATGCCAAAGTAAATTAACTCCTTCGAAGACATCGCTTCTCTATAGTCGAATATTATCCGAGAATATTTTATTCCCTCGATATTTATTATTCTCGTGCATCATGTTTAATTTCTTTCTTTTTTTCGTTTTTCTTTTCCCTTCGAAGAAGAGGATTGAAGGGTGAACCCAGTCTGATCGCGAGGACTGTCGATAAAACTTAATATTCAATTTCCTTCCTTCCGACGAACGCGGTTTTTGAAACGCTTCCTCACTTTTCCGACGCAATATCGGCAACTTGTCGCCGAGTAGAAATCACTCGATGCAGTTTTCTATGTGTTTCTCTCGCTACGAGAGAAATTTATCTCGATCCCACAGGAGCACCTATTCCTTCTGTCGAGTTCCTCGGCAAGGTTTCCGTGTATCGCAACAGAATATACGCGATGATTCGTCGAGGTTTCCTCTTCAACTTGGCACAAATACATCTTCTCGTTCTTTCTTTCGACGTTAAACGGAAAATTGCTGATTTCACCCACCGCTTCCTCTTTTGAGAGGAGGAAGCTTCCTTTTTTTTCTTTTTATTTAAAATCGTGATCGTAACTTTTTTTTTGAAACTGTGTTAAATTATGTTAGATTAAAATTTCACAATCGTCAATTTTATTCTCTCGAGGAAGTTTTGAATTTAAGTTGCAAGTGATTACGTATACTGTAGTAGTATGTTAACATTATTCGTTCCTCCTCGATACAAATTACTTCGAACGAGTAAGATTTTCTTCTTGATTCGAAATTCTTCCACTTTCCACATAGGTTTCTTTCAAATAAAAAATTACATCGATGTATGAGAACGTCAAAAAAAAAAAAAAGAATTGTAATAAATAATGATAAAAATACGTACATACGTATTGATTTTATAAGGTTGTATGTGAAACGATCTATTTCGTTTCGCATACAATAATTCTTAGAGTTTGAAGCTCATTGAACGCAACTTGAATTACGTTTCATCGATTCGTTTTACAATGAAAAGAAAAAAAACATTGCGCGAAAGAATCATAAATTTAAAATTTTGATTCATCATATCATCGTTTTTTTCACATTAAAATCGTAAACTCTTTTTGAAAAGATTGTATCGTAAGGATACAACGAATTTATTAACGCAAAACTCAAGTTTGATCAAGTTTTTTCTATTCAATTATAGTAATTAACTACTGCTCTTCGAGATCTATATTGCAAGATTTTGCATTGAATTCGTTGAAAGCCTTGTTAAAAAATTCGCCCAATTCCCAACGATCCGTTCCGCAACGCGCACGTTCAATTTTGCTCGCTGTTCATGAATATTCCGCAACATTCGGACAACGTTCCATGAAGATATAATCTCTGCCGCGTTTAGACGCGACTAGGGCTCGCGTGTTCCTCGTTATTAGATCGAAGTTTGGCAAACCGTGTCCGGCTAATTGTAAGTAGATTCCGATAAACCCGTGAGCGGGGCCTCCATGGATTTCCTCGCGGGGACGAGCCACCGATTTCCATCACGCGCGCCTGTAATTTCCACCGCTCTGATCTAACCAGTCGCCGTGATAACTTACGATCCTCGTGCACGAAACGAGACGTTTTCATTCCGGAATTAATCTTTCTTTCGCGACCGCGGATTTGATTCGTGCAACGCGATATTGGTGGTGGTGTGTTTGGTCGGCACAAGATATCGACGTGTGTCGAATTTATGTTATCGTAAAAAAAAAAAGAAAAGAGGAAATGAATGTCGAGTTTTAATATAAATTAACAAGTGTCGATATTGTGCTTTTTAAAAAAAGATCGAATGGAAAATTTTCGCAAAATGTCTCCTTGTCTCCTTCGACATCTTCGCATATACTTTAAATGTATTTTGATTTGAGAATAAAAAAATTGATAAATAGAGAGGTATAAGAGAAAAGAATCTATGCAAAAATTAAATCATACAAAGAAGGATGTACTTATAATTTATTTGCAAAATAAAATTCGTAAGCTACGATTGAGTAGTAGATACGATCAGCGAAATATTATAAAGCGTTTAAAGAAATATAAAAGAAATATGTTCTCGTTCTCCTAGAATTCTTTAGAAAAGAATCTTAGAAGAAAGTATTTACACGCTAATAATCTGGTGTATCCATTTATTCCTATTGAAAAATCTCGTCTACTATCGTTATTATTACATAAAAGTCGATGTGACGGCTTATTTATCAGGGAAAATCTCATTGCACCTACGTGGCACAGGCATTTTCAATAGGTTTGGATCGTCGTAGTGAGCATCGAGCCACTTCAATTCGCGTTAATGCAAAATCAAGATCAACCCTGGGCGACAAAAAGGATGGGACGCGTGAAAAGCATCCCCCTCCTTCTCGATATGAATGAAAGATTCGAAGACCAGCCGCCTATTCAACGTTCCAAGAACTCCTCCAAGACCCTTTGTGAGCCAGATATAATTCACGAATTTTCTTGCACCGGTTTACCCGTATACCCCGAGCGAAACGCGAGAGGTTTTATTGGGAGGAGATTTGTTACAATGGATTCCCTCGTAATTGAAATCTAACGCAATGGATTCAGTGACGAGTAATTTTAATATATATATAACTTTGTGAATTTAATTTAATTTAATTTAAATTGAATAGGCGACTCTCCTGTAATATAAAATCTTTTTATATTGTTTTCTTTTTGTACAAGGTGTCTTGTTATTCGTAGGGTACAGGTAGAACGTGATCGTGAAAAAGTAAGTCGAGAGTGAGGAATAGAATAAATCGAGTTTTCAAAAATATTCAACAAGTATAAATCGTGTGAAACAAAGGTTGGAATAAAATTTTATCGGATTTCGAATTTTCTTTCAATCGTTGTAAAAACGAAATTGAAGATCAAAGTGAAATTTGTAAAATTTGTCGAACAAATTTTTTTTTCTTTTCTTTTCTTTCCGTATTTTCAGTTTCAAACACGTTAGAACGAGATTGTATATAATAGATACTATTTAACATTCTCTTAATATTCTCGATACGTGATATCGGTGGAAATCAATAATCAACGGGGGGATCCTTATTTGAAGAGAGTTTCGTAACTTAAAATGGAATGTACAGTTTGATTCGCTTGAAGAAGTTGGTGGAAGTTTGAAGTGGCGAACGGAGCCAAGTTGTCCAACTAATTGTATAATCGAATCCGATGATCGATCGTTTCTTCGTAATTTATACTTGGAAAATTGACCCACTTTCGTAAAACGTTTCTGCTTTATTAAACCATCTTCATCGTTGTATCGCGTCATTAACTTTTACATTATTATACTGGAGACGAAAAATATTCACGTATCTTTTCGAATAACTTTACAATCTTTCTCATCGAGTAATCTATGATTATATTCGTTATCTATGATTAAAAAAAATACATAAATCTGAAAGTTTTAAAGTCCCAGTTTTTAGAAAAGGAATATTTCTGAAGAATCTTAAAAAAAAAAATTCATCCCCTGCACTTTTTTTCTTGGTCACACCAAATATTCGAAACGAAGTTACTTTCGAGATAAAAGTTTACGACGAGAAATTCTTCAAATTAATACACATTTTGGAAATAGAGGTAACGTCTTTCAAACGCCACCATTGATCCTTTATACGGGTGTAAGCTCGGAACAACCAGGTTGACCGCAACACCAACGAACAGAGACAAATTATGTGACAGTTTCCAGCCAGTTAGCATATCAATAACGTCGCCAAGGTGTTCGATAACCAGCAACCGTTCTCCCCACGAAAACACGTCGTCTTTACTATCAGCATGCCCTGTACATTCCGCGTCGAATACCGCATTCCAATTTACTTCGAATGTAAATTCGAAGTTCGAGCTCCGACTGCTTTCGCAACCGTACGTAAATTGTACCCAGACCCTGTTAAACCGTGTCGAAGTTCGATGACCGATCTTCGCGGTTCTCGCACACCTGAACACCATTGAAAACATTTTCCATTGCCTCGACGAAACGATCCCTCGTTCTAGGATTTCCTTTAAAATTGAAATTCGGAAGGATTCGTATGGTTTTAGCTTTGCCTTAAGTATAATCGATGTTTGAAATTATGGAAAGTATAATTGGATAAGGAAAAGAAAAGTAAATTATTGTAAATTTTCATATTGATTCACTTTTATATGATAGATTAGAATATGTTGATACATTTGTTGATTCAAGAAATTCGAACGCATTCTTCATCTATTAACACGTTCATCACACACCGTCGAATCCTAATTAATATTCTTACGAGTACGATATCCTCTATCGATGGATGGAAAATCGGAAGAAATGTACTACGCGTACAAAATTACGTGCGTAAATTCAGAAATTCAGAAAAACGATCAATCATCGGTGAACGATCATCAGTATCGAGACGTGAAACTTGATGATCAACTTCGTAAAAACTTGGAACGTATATCAACCACCAAAGTAATAAACCACTTTCTTCACGATTCTTCCTTCTCGCCACCATATCTAGTCCAACCGATTCCCCGGTTCACCAATCGTATACGATCGTAACAATTCCTTCCAAACTCTTTTCTTCCTTTTTCTTGATTTCGAAACATGTGATGGACTATGGAAAGCGGGAGGAGACGGGACGAGTTGCAGCACGGTGAGCAGTCGGAACCGTAGTGCGCGCTGCTCGTGGCCAGCATCAGCGCAAAGAAACGGTTCGTACATATTCGGGATGGTTCGGCTCCACGAGTCGCGGCGCCGAGCAACGAAGTCGTTCGACTCGAGCCGTGTGTGCGGCTGCAGTCACTCGTGGAATCCTGAGTCGTGTCAGTGGTCTGGCGGACGTGGTCGCGCGCGAGTGTGTCGTTGAGAATTGGTCGCTTCGCTCGGCGAGAAACGGTGCGGAAAGGAATAACGTAGAGATAGAAGAAAGGGTATAAAGGTGCGTGTTTTCGATGTAGTGAAAGGGCAACGGAAAAGGGTTTACGAAGAACGATTCAACGTTCCTCGCGATCTCCTCGTTCCGTGCGACACGCGTCCAGGAATCCATCTCTCTCGACCATCCTTCCAAAAAGAACGTATCGTACGTTTGAAATCGTGCTGCGAGACAGACATTCCTCGAGTCTGTGTTGCGTGCAGGTATCGACTAGTTTCTTGGAAGACTCGGAAGACGTTTCCTCTTTGTCAGAGGTGAAGAGCGTGGCGAAGGTCGGAGGAAAAAGTAGTTAACAGCCTTGCACCTGGCACAACACACACACACACATACTTCGTCCCTGACGGCTTTTGCAACTGAATCTCTCGATCTACGTTCTTCGTCGTCGATCCTATCTCGCATACACATTGCCATTGTGTTCTTTCGATATATATATATATATATACACACGAGTATCGTCGATGAATGGTCGACGCTAAATACACAAAGCGTTCTTTGAAATCAACCGATCCGACGACCACGTTGGTAGTCGTTAATCTCGCCTCCATTTCAATCCTCCACTACTATTTCTACTCAATAGCAATATAATTCTACCATCCTCGAAAATAACAGGCTTCGCATCCCTGTATCGTGAAGCACAGCATTCGAACGAAGGAGGAGGAGAAAGAAGAGGATACGCACGTGTTCCACGCGACGGAAACGCATCACTGCCAACGCGATACGACGCCGAGCATCCGCCTTTCGAACAGATCTGGGACCAGCTGGAGGACGCCTTTTCTTCGAGTCGAGTTATTATCGGTTGTGCCTGTGCGTCCTGTAAACAGGTTACTGGTCGTCGTCGCGCGGCAAAAAAACTCTCGCATCGAGGAACGAAACGGTCGAGGTCGAAGGACGTCGTAGTTGTTGTCGTCGTAGTCGTCGTTGTGTGGAGACGCAGTTGAGAACAGCCGCGTTTGTCGACCGTTTACGCGGAAAATCGTAGAAATATAAACACGGGAGGAGGGAAGGGATCGGATGGTCGTGGCCTTTGCTCGAAAAAGTGCGGAGTATATGTGTGATACAGAGTGTCGGTTAGGTCGTTCGATAACCCGTCCTGTGTTCCGCGAAGTGAAAACGCCGCGTGGATGATAATTGGCGATAGACGACCGACCGACTCGGTACGCGATTTGGTGCGGTTAATCAAAGGCTCTCCTCCTCGTTGCGCTTGGTCGAAAGGGAGGGTTGGAAGAAGAGGGTGGAAGGAAGGAAGGGAGGAAGGCTTTGGAAAGTTTTGGATAAGGAAAGACGAGAAAGGAAAATTGGAAAGAAGTGACCGTGATAATCCAGCCCTGCCAAGTTTACCTGAAAACGATCGGCTGGCTCGTCTACATCCTACGAGATAGGTAATTCGAGCAACGAATTTACACTTAATTTTTATCTCGCGTGCGACGCCCCCGCACCTTTGTTCCAATGCCTCGTTGTTAATGAGTTCGACTCGCGGCGAATTACTCTTGTTGATGCGTCGTAGCTGAGCGGGAATCGAAACGTGACGACGAGGGATCGATCGACCCTTTCCTCGCGTAATTCACGGGGAGAAGTCGATTATGTATAGGGTCGAGACCGCTCTTGGATAGCTATGTAATTTTTTCCACGCGTTCGATCGAACGAGCAGAGGGTAAATTTTAAAATCGTGTTTTTATCGAGGCTCGATGATATTATTCGTTTCGAAAACGATCAACGGGCGATCCTTGCTCGTTTTCCTTGCTCTTTCCATCGACGAGGGAGGGAGGGAGGAAATTCGTGTTGGAATTCTTCCTTCGGCCAAGGAGGAAGTATTCTTCTTCGTGACCAGTTTGCTCGTATTTAACGTTGTGGAGAAGAAGAAGTCTCGAGAAAACCGAGCTCGATATCTTACTACCTCTATCTTTCCGATCTCGGAATCCACCGACGCGTATCGACGTATCGATCAACGAAAGGAAGGAAGAGTATAATGAACGCCTGTTATCTCGCCGATTTATTCAATCGTTTCATGAATCGATTTATTATCTCTCGATTTCGTATCGGCCTCGATTTATGTCGTGGACAGGGAATCGTGGTTATAAGACCGGTGATCGTGATCGGGGTTAATTAACAGTAATTTCGCCTCTTTCCTCGCCTGGGAATTTCTCAAACGTTGTTCGTAATTACGAGCTTAATAAGTTTAAGATGGAAATGAGAAGGAAGTACGGTTTGAAATGGCGATTCTTTTTTTTTTCTTTTTTTCGTCTTCGCGAAATATTCGCGAAATAATCTCTCGATTTTCGGTCAATGTTTAATTTTACTTGCTTGCGAAAGAGCAAGTATGTCCTCCGTAACTCTCAACACTTTCGAGCAAAGTACTATTTATCGTGGTATCGTTATTCAATCTCGCTTAACCTGCAAACAGGTTGAACCACTACCACTATCTTATCGAATCACATCGAATACCAGTTTCCATTCAAACGAAACCGCAAATAAACTCGTCTAAATATGATGTAACCTCAAACTCTGACAATAAGAACGTATCAAAAAATTCCATTCCCAATGTCACGTCTTGATTCCCGCTTCAACTCCTCTTACGTCCAATATAAAATTCCCCCTTATTAAAATCTCTCTCGTTCTTCCGTTTCAAGAAAAATCGCATAAAAAGAAAAAAGAAAAAAAAAAGAAGTATCCAATCCAATTGTCATTTATCTTGATACGTGTCATAAGCCATAAATAATCGCGTATCTCGAAAAATATACGTACATTCACTCCGCAATAAAATACGATACAAATAATCTCGTGCCTTCAAAATTACATCGTTCTTTCATAAAAAAAAAAAAAAAAATACTCTGCTTCTTTCCACAAAGGAACCACTTCGCAACGTCTTCACTTATCCCGCATTGTGCAAAAAACCCACGCGTCTACGAAAAAGATTATTATTATCATCCATTAATATATACTTTCTCGATCCTCCGATTTCTTTCCTCTCTCCTCTCCTCTCCTCCGTAAAAAAATTCCCACCGCCGAAATCTCACTCCTCCTTCCTTCCTTCCTTCCCTCCCTCCTCGGGCCGGAGATAAAAAAGGAATAAAGGAGAAATACGCCGATCACCGCGCGTGATCTCAAAAGTTGGGAATCCCGGGCCGACACAGAAGCACGTTCGAAGTGTCGGCCGACTCGACGACGACGACGACGACGACGACGACGACGAGGACGAGGAGTAGTACCGGTTATCGATGTCGACGAACTCGAGGAGGAAGGTTGACCAAGGCCGTTTGGGTCTATTTATAGCGAGAGCCGGTAACAAAGTAGACATTTGCCGGGAATCGTATTTTCGTAGATTCTCGAGGAATGCTCGCAAGGGAGCCGACCTCGCCTCGGGAGTCCTGAATTATTTTAGGGGCCGCCTCCCCTTGAGAAGCGTGCATCTTGGGGAGGAGAGGTCGGTTTATCGGTTCCCGTTTATCGGGCAAAACTTCGTCACGCGTGATTCGTGGAAATTCAACGTGATAAATCGTATCGCGAACTTTCACTTTTTGGAATCGAAGAGATATTGTTGTGTCTCGAAATATATATTTTTTTTTCTTTTCTTTCGAAGATACGAAATATTTCGATTCGTTCGTTAATTTTTCTGTAAGGGTATAAACGAGTGGTGTACGTTCGAATATTGATTAATTAATCGATATACGTTATGCAGTAATAATGAGACGATCTATGGATAAAAATTCTCTAACCGCTTCACGATTGTACAAAAATATATTCCCTCTCGTCCAATTAGAAAGAAGATTCAAAGAAGGAACGAATATATAAGCACATTGCACAATAATAAGAGGTCGCTTGACCCGGTTGCACGGATTATCTCTCCCACAAACATTCCATTTTTCTTCGACGTTTGAACCCTTTAATGAACCGAATAGAATCTCTCTCTTTCTTTATTCTACGCCAGTCGTTTGATTCGAAGCGTCGAAAGAAACGTAATACATAGATACGTTGGAGATTTATTATCGGTGCATTCAAAATGATTGAGAAATTGTCCGATTCTCGATCGTTGCAGAGGTATCATCGATCGATATTTGCTCGAATTCGATTTCGATAATTGAAATCGAGTATAAGCGAATTTATTTTTAATAAATCGTTTGCAGGCAAAATGATTTGATGGCCGGATAGATAGCGCGTGAAAATTTATTTTAATAACGACGAAAAGCGTCGTTTAACCTCGTAGTTCGGGGGCAATAATTTTTATGCCGATATTTTATGTAGCTTTCATGGAATTGGTATATAAGCGGGTATATCGCGCTTGTCAGCCGATTAAAATGATTTTATTGGGCCCCGAATTGATCACACCTCGCGCATTATCGCTGATTAACACGAGTGCAAATGTTTCTCTTCTGTATTACGAATCGCGTCTAGTTTAGAATCGAACGTATCAATCGAGCTACAATTCGTTTATATAGACACTTTGCACGTGTCGTTCGATTTTTTTTTTTTTTTTTTTTTTTGTTTCGTAATGAATCAATCCGGGACGGAATTCATTTGTGAATGAAATAAAGCGGAGGATAATCGATATCTTTATTACCCTTTCGATACATTTTCGTTGTTCGAAATTAAATTATTTCACCAACGTATTCGGACGAAGAATTTAACGGAAGGAAAGTTGTCGAGAGTTGAAATATTTCGTCCATCATATTTTGGACGAAAGCAGCAATTTAATTTTCGATCGTTTAAACGCGAATAAAATACGCTGCATTATTTTTTCATTAGAAAAGACAAGAAGTTCGAGAATTAAATCTTGCGTAATTAAGAGCCGTGCATCATGAAAACAAAGCGATTTGCACCGCCTCTAAGTTTCCTCGTATTTTGTATTTCCCACGTGTGTGTGTGTGTGTGTGTGTGTATGACAAGACAATTGCCGCTCGTCCGTGAAACGCGAATGCTTATCGCGTTGTTGCTCGCGTGAAACCGGAAGTGGGGACGTCGGTTCGCAGCCAGAGGCCGCGTTCTCCTCCGCGTTTTCCGCCGTTTTATGCTTCTATAAATGTCGTATCGCGTGTTGTTCCCTATCATATTTAATGACACGTGATTATCCTTTCCCTTCCCAATAATCGATTCTTTTTTTTATTTTCGTGGTAAATAAAAAATCAAGGCCGTTTCTAATTAATATGTAATCGAATTACCAGACGAATTGGGGGGGGGGGGAAAGAATAATAGATGATCGTTCGACAGTGGTCTCGAATTACATCGAATTTCAGAATAATTATGCGACGCAACAACTAGAGATAATTAAAAAATAAAATGGAGCTAATTCACGAGTACGTAATAACATTTACGCTCCCGTGGGATTTTTATCAGCTTTGCTTTATTCATTTTTCACGTTTATATTTTAAATTGAAATATCGATATCAATATTTCATTATTACTTCTCTTGTAATTAGAGATTCCTTTTTTAAAAATAAATATGAATAATTACAATCGAGACGAAAGTGAGAAGAAATTTCAGGGAATATTTGAATATTTTTCAGGGATCTAAAAATTACGTAGATTCGCGCATAAGTGATCGATCATCACGCATCAACCAAATATACGCGAGCGCGTATATTTAATTTTTCATCCCCCTTATCGAAATAACTCCCGTGTAATTTCATTTTCAATTTTACTCGACAAACAGACTATACTTTTTTTCTTTTTTTTTTTTTTTTTTTTTTTTTTTTTCGGTACAACATCGGACAATCGGATTCAATAATTATTTAAATCTTCCAATCAATCGAACGATATATTGGAATCCTGCGATATTCTGCCCGTCATAAACTGGAACGTTGTCGCCGATACTTTTGTTTTTCGATGTTATAACGAGCCTCGAATACTATATAAAATGGCCTGTCGCTGCTACGGACACTCGTGCACGGGAAAATGTATTATTTTTCAAGCGAATTTCCGGGGGAAACGAAATTTTATTCTGGTTGTTTACAACGACAACGAGGGATGGAAAGTAACGTCGGTGCTCGTCAATTTCGCGATCGAAAAATGCATAGGCGATAGGCGTTAAACGTTCGCCACCCATTCAAATCAACTTTTCGCCCCGACTGAACAAAACGGATGAGCAAAACTGCGAACAATATCCTCGTATTCGTTTCATTTTCGTTTAACATTTCGATTATTTTTCAACGAGGGTGTATTTTTCCTTTGTCAAAAAATGATGGAAAAAAAAAGAAGAAAGAAAGAAAGAAAGAAAGAAAGAAAGAAAAATCGTGAACGAACGCGCGATGATTCGTCGTTTTATATCGCAGGGAATAAATTGGAACGGCGTTTCGTGTGAATTTTATTTTTATTTTATTCCTTCGGTGATGAAATAACAACACTGGTAAATATTAACTTGGATCGTATCGAGAATGTTACTTCAGTT